CACTGATTAAATTTTGGTCATTTGTACTTTCTGTCCGTCATCTGTCTACATGATCAAACCACGTTAAACGAAAAAATATTATTATGCACGAAATCCTTGGACCAAGCCCTTTCAAATGAGTCCCATATCGCCCAAATCGGTTCAGTCATGTAGAAGAAGTACGTTTGACGGGCGGACGGACGACACATAGAAGCCAATAGCGATTTTTCCCTTTGAGGAAATTACGCTCAACATTACAACATCGGAAATATCAAATACGAGCCCAGACGGATGTGTATTGGATCAAAACAAAATAGCCATTAGTTTTCCCTTTGTTTATTTATTTTATAATTATTTTAGTTGATAAAAGTATTAGATATTGTTAACTGATTGGCAAAACCACATAGTATCAAATAAGCTTAATAGTATTCGTTAAATTTGTAATAGTAGATATAGGTATAATGAATTCTAATTCAGAGAATTTTGTTGCATAATTGTTTTGGTCCAATACATATACAGTGTGTCCCCGGATGGACTGAACAAGAGGGAAAAACATTTTAATTTTAACTCGATTTTAACTTTACGCAAAAATGTCATTCTTTTTCTTAAGTTCTAAGGTGTCTTTTTTAACTTGATTTGCTTATCATGTTGCCATGGAAGATACATCTGATTTAATCAAAAACATGCAACTTAGAAAAATTTCCGCTGTAGATTTTGCGTTTTTTTTGTAATTTTCTCAGCTGCTAAAGGGAATATCTAGATTTTTATTTCAGAATAGGTGGTTTTGAGGCAAGCAAAAATTTTTATAAAGAATGACATTTTTGCGTAAAGTTAAAATTAAAAATGTTTTCGCTCTTGTTCAGTTCATCCGGGGACACACTGTATGTGTCTGGGCTAGTATTTAGCACTTCATTTGCCAATTAATTTTGAATTTTTGCATTGAAGTGCACAATGTATGTCTTATGACAATAATTCCGTGGCCATGTTGATGGTGAGTATGAGAGGCAATAATATTAATTTATAATACAAGATGATAAAGAGATGTTTTAACCATCGAGTGAATTAGTTAATTTCCCATTATCGTCATGTACAATACAAAACTTTATTTTATAGCAAAAGCCATAGAAATCATTATAAAACTTCTGAAAATAATGTAGGTAGTTAACTTAGACGTCCAAAAAACTTCTGTTTGTTTGTTGATGACCTAACAGTACTTTCTTGTGGTAGTACTCACAATGTGGTTTTAAATAATGTTAATATTTGCCTTACTAAGTTGATGTCTTACCAATAAGCTCATTTTGAGTTGTGATAAGGCCCGTATTATGAAACTATGCCCTACAAATGCAGTATGGTGCAAAAAGGTCAATTAGGCAAGAAAAATTATACAAACAACAAGCCTGGAGCATTGTTCTCTAAACTGGAGGGATTACATTGATATAGTGCGTAATAAAATTTCGTCTAATTGTTTTGCCCTTAAGCGGCTCTCTTATATTTCAAAGGTTAATAAAAGTAACATTTTTGATCATTTCATCATTGAGTCTATCGATTAGAATTATTTAAAATGAATCTGTATTATGCTGGTGCGACTTCATTTATTATATAAGAAAAATCTGTATTTTAGAAATTTGGCTTTTCTAAATTGGTTTTCCCTGAAGCGCTTCGTTATCATAAACGGAATGCCTTAGTTCATTAACTGAATTAATTAATAATTTTTTTAGATATACGTTAAATTTGGAGTAAATTGGATATAAGGGCGTATAGGTATAAATAACATAAATTGCTCTATGGTAAGCCAAACAAAACAGATTAACTAATTTCCGAGGTCTTTTCCACTGTTTAACAACAGCTGTTCTCATTTTTACCAAAGCAAATTGTTTTTAACGGAAAAGAATAAATTCTACACTGAGAAATAATGGCAATTCGCAGTTATAGGTACAATTAACATTTTTAATTTTCAGGCGGCTTTGATTTAGCATAGTCAACAAAAACAAGTGCTATTGTTTTATTTTGTTTATCAGAGATAAAATCACTAAATTGTTATTTTAAAACGTTTAATATCACTAACAAAATCAATCTAGCTACCTAGGTACGTTTATTTCTTAGATATGCAGGGTGAAAACGAAAAGTTTGACTTTTTGGGATGTTATCGTATTACCATTGACTAATACCCTTATTAGTCAATGGGATTACTACCCATTTAAGATAGAAAACGGTAAAACTGACTAATTTTACGCAGATACCAGTGGCGTAGTCAAAAATTTTGATTTGACCTAATGGGGGTAGTTTTATTTATTATGGTATTAGAATATTCAATTCGGAGCATAGTGCTTTAGTTCAAAAGTTGCATTGCGCTGTATCAGCAAAGTAAATACCTGGAGCTCTTGTTCTTATCTTCTTCAAATTGCTATATTAGACGATAGACATTCCTCCATTATCACTGGTTCCAGATGCACCCCCAAGAATTTTACTAGGGGAAGAAAGTCTTTTTTTTGTAAGTCTGATATCCACTTTTCAATCAGATTTTCTCCATTCCTCCGTTTATGTCGGAGGGAGACCAGGTGTCGTTTTTTATACAGAAAATGTTATACTAAGCCCAAACGGTACGGTGGCCCTGGGTAGCTCCTATAGTATATTTATATTTTTCTCTGTATATTGACTAGAGCTAGACTCTAGGAATTTTGAAAATTAGTAAACGCTTAAAAAACAACCAAAAAAGTTATTATTTTCATATGACCGGGCACTAATCGCTGGTAAAATGAATGATGCTACACAATGAAAACTATTTCATAAGCAATGGAATGGAGGTATCTGGTCGGGTCACTGGTAAGTCCGAAAACGGTCGATTATCAGGGAAAATATACAAGATAATGAAAAAAGTGTTATACAAAGGTTTTGTGCTTGTTTAATGTCTACTAGGCAGTAGTAATTTTAACTCTACTGGGTTGGTCATACAGCCGTGGCATACTAAAATTGCATTTTTAAATGGGACATTCTGTATATTCGATAATTATATTTCTCTTTCAACTTTAAGCAAAATTTGTAACAAACATAATGTACGTAAATTTAATCGTTTCCGGGTTATCGAGTTTTGAATATAAAAGCTACTATTCTGAAATTTATTGAATGATCGAATGAAGAACCTTAATTAACATCACAAACCACATAATGTTTTCACTAGCGTTTGTTTTTGAAACTCGATAACTCGGAAACTATTTAATTTTGGTACATCATGCTTCTTACAAATTTTGATTAAAATTAAGAGAAGAATTGAAATATCAAACAATATACAGGATGCTCTATTTAAAAAATGCAATATGGGTGTGTCATTCCTTTATGATCAACCCTGTATAATTCAAATTATTATCGGCTATAGTAGTAGACATGAAAGAACCCCATAATTACCATTTCCAGACTTTCCAGCGACCCTACGTGGAAGTCTGAGGTTAGTATGCAGAACAAAGTGGGAGAACTTTTTGCTCATTGGTGTTTTGTTTTACAACATAATTTCAATGTTTCCTGATGGTTAAACCAAAACTAATGAACAATTTTAAATATCACTTTCTCACTTTCTTTTTGTTCCACTTTCTATAGGGGCATTCTATTTAAAAGCATTTTTTTGCATTTTCAACCCTGACAACTTTGAAAGTTATTCCTTAGCACCGTAGGCCCTAGGTCTTACATAACTAAAATGTACCAAAAAATTCAAAATTCAAGTATCTCAAGAATCTCATCAGGCAAGTGGTAACATCAAATTTACTCCAAATTCCGTATAGATACGCATAGTACAAACTAAAGCATTTTATTTGAAGTAACAAACAAAATGTGAATAAACTTCCGGTAAAATATTTATAGATAAAAACGGTCCTACAGGGTAACCCTTACATACAAACTTTAAGATCTTTAGTGTCCGTGTCAGTTGCATGTTCGACATGGAAATTCTACTTACCTATACAGGAATAAATTCCTTCGCTATGGAAACAATGAATTGTCACTTATAATTGCACAAGAGGTTTGTATTTTACCGAGTAAATTTGGGTTGTTTAGGTAATGAAAATTTGTTGCCTAGCAATTAGACGAGAAAAACTGTCAACTAATAAAAATGCGACACCGCAGGTGGAGCATTTTTAGGTTGACAGTTTTTCGAGTTCAATTGCTAAAAGGAAACAGATTTGAATTGCAACAACCCAAATTTACTCGGTTTAAATACAAACCTCGAGTGTAATTCGGCAGGACAATTTAACGAACAAGAAATTCACCAAACTAGTCAATTATTGACAGACGTCAAGCTAATCATATGGGAAAGGATAATGCGAGAATTGTTCCAAAATGAATAAGTGAAAAAACCACTAGTGCATTTGTCGCTGGAAAAGTTGCAGGTAACTTTTGCCGCTGTCAAAGTGACAATTACACTGCGGCTTATGCGATTTTTTATACATGAGTTGAATTGTCTATATAATTTCTTATCATTTGAAAAATGCAACATACTGACAATTTTCAAGTGTTTATTGCAGTAATGAATGCACAATTATTGCGCACAATTTAATATATTAATGTTATGGAACTTTCTACTACCTCCCTGATAAAGACTATTAGAATCATTATAAGCGCGATTAGGAAAATAAAGAATATAGATATAGCCCATAAGAAGCCATTAAAATCCCAATATCTACTCATAGGATGACGTTTTGAAGGGTAGAATTTAAATTTAAAGCATCTTCCATATATTCTATTTTCTTATAGTAAGGTCCCAATTCCTTGCACCCTTCGATCATTGACCAAATTGTGGCCTTTCCAAAACTATACGATCTCCTACTAAATAGCCACCCCCATTCTGTGACGCTTTTTGCACTGAATTACCAAGGAACTGCAGTAATGCGCCTTAGCTTTTCATCGACGCAATGGGCGAATACATGGTAAACCCCATGACGTCATTCACTACAGTTGGGTTGCCTGTACATGCGTCGAATATATTCACAAAAAATTACGAGGGAGGTAAAACTGTACTGCTGTGTTTGTTGCAGGAACGCTATGTGCCATTTCCGATGGAATGCAATATGCTTGGACAGCGCCCATCGTCCCAATTCTTCAGCGCCCCGATTCCCCGATTCCGATTACGCATACGGATGTCGTGTGGTTGGAAAGCATCTACATGATAGGAGGGATGGCCGGAATACCATTTATAATTTACAGCGTGGATCGATTTGGGCGCAAGGCCACAATTTTAATAGGAACCGTGCAGCACATAGTATCATGGATAATGAAAGCGTTCGCCCCTTCAGTTGAATTCTTCTACGTGGCGAGATTCATCAGCGGATTCGCGGCAAACGTCGACTTTGTAGCAGCGCCCATGTATATCAGCGAAATTGCCGACAAGAGGGTGCGCGGATTTTTAGGCTCATCGATTTATGTGATGATGCTAGTGGGAATTTTGATAATCTATTCGGTGGCGCCGTTTGTTTCGATTCCGATATCGTCGGCCGTCGGCTGTTCATTTTTGGTGGTGGAACTCTTCGTTTTTCCCTTTATGCCTGAATCACCCTACTATCTGGTTTCAAAAGGAAAAATGGAAGCGGCCAAAAAATCGCTGCAGAAGTTACGAACGACAACGAAGAATATCGATAAGGAATTTGAAGAAATACTGTCCATGGTGAAAAGGCGACAGTCAGAAAAAGAGAAGCGGAGTTACGCAGACTTGTTTCGGATAAGGAAAAATCGAAGAGCGGTGCTAATTGTGACAACACTGAACTGTGCGCAACATTTTAGCAGTTACAGCGTGATTTTGATGAATCTTCATTCGATACTGAATGACGCGGGGTCAATGTTGAGCTCGAGTAACGCCGCGATTATATTTTCGGCATTAATGTTATGTGCCGCTCTATCTTCGTCGATTTTAGTTGACAGAACTGGAAGAAAGATGCTTCTTTGCGCATCATGTTGCTTGACAGGCCTTTCGATTTTATCCCTCGCAATGTACTTCGCAATAAAGAACAGTGGACATGATGTCGCTGGGTATAGTTGGGTACCGGCCACATCCGCGATGTGCTACGCAGTGTTCTTCAAATGTGGAATGGGTCTTATACCTATAGTCTTAACAGCCGAACTCTTCCCATCCAGCGTCAAAGCGATGGGGATGGCAACCGCGTCCGCAATGTACAGTGTGTCCTCCGTTGTATCTATATACGTTTATCAGTTCCTCAGCGACCAATTCGGGATGCACGTACCGTTTTTCATTTTCGGGTTTTCTTGCTTTTTGGCAGCATTTTTCACTATATATTTCATACCAGAAACGAAGGGCAAAACTCTAGCAGAAATTCAACTAATTCTTAGCAGTACTAAATCTTTGAGTACCGCAATAAGAGACATTAAACCTGGTAGTCCCGAATATGCAACTTTGTTATTAAAGCAACAGCAAGAGTCAACGGCATAAACATCTTCTGAATAAGTATTATACAGAAAAATACTTACACTAGTCCTTAGACTGGAATTGACTTAATTTATTTTAGAATTAAATTGATCTTGTGTTTTTTTCTTTACAACCGGAACCAATACGATAAAAGGAGTAGGCATTACGAAAGAGAATGCCTAATTTCATTCTAGTGTAGGTAGGTAGTACTTTATTGCATGTTAGCCGACTCAGATTGTTTATGCAAAGCTTTCTTGTAGTTGAGTTAGGATTTCTAACTACCAGGAAATACGACGGTACTGTTTGGAACAAGCAAACACACCTGTCATGCACCTTGAAAAGAAGAATAGAAATTAACATTTATTTTTTCGACGCAAATTTAATGCAGAAATATTGAATTTGTTTTTGATAGTAATTGAACAACACAAATAATCGAATCGAATTGAATATGCGACATTGGTGTGCTAAAGAAGCGACCTTGGCGCGAGGTTACCTCGAGGCAAGTTGTAAATGGGTTAAGTAGTTTATTATAAACCTAAAAATTACTTCCGAATCATTCAAGGAAGCGCATGAATGATTTTATTTTGGTATTTATTAGCATATTAATACATCGAATCCTAATGAATTTGTAAGGCCGCGACACCGGTATATGATCATCGCTTTTGTCGCAAAAAAATCGTATTGATGTTTAGTGCTATACATTTCCTCAGCATTTCCGCAAACCCAGTAACTTGTGCTAGTAGCATTTTAAAACGTTATTTACGTATAAAGGATTTCTGCAACTGCAGTCGCCCAAGGATCGGTTTTATAGCCAATCCTATTAATGTGCACAATTGATTTAGAAGTTGTTTCTAGGTGGTCACTCCATGATGTTGAAGGTACACCAAAACTACCTTCTAGCAAAATGTGAACAGCAAACTTGAGGCTACATCTTAATATTGGAAGGAAGTTATGATGCTTCTTGCAACAGGAAAGCGCATGGTGCAGTGAAAGTAATACACTCATTGCTATATCATCCTAGGCAGGAGAATTTCCCCAGTTTTGTCTTCTGATGAAGGGAATTCAATATCGAACGACATTTGGTTGTCAATAAATGCGGGTCTCGAATCACCGTTTCATCTCTTTACGGGAACATCTTAGATTCAGCTATAAAAAAAGCAACCCACAATGTTGGAGGGTAGAATCAAATTGCGTCGAATATTACTGGCGGTGTCCGATCTCTTGCAAGTTGTAGTGTAGTTCGCACGCTTGTTAGTGTTACTAGTGTAAACGTGTAATTGCTGATTTTTTAAATAAATAAGTTAAAAATTATATCAACCATAGTTCTTTATTATATAAGACGAGAAAGGGATGTTTCAACCATTGCGTGAGCCACTCGTGAATTCACTTTTACGAGATCGTTAGTTTCCATTTATCCTCGTGTACAATACAAAACTTTATTTTATAGCGAAGCCATTTAAATCATAGTAAAGCTTTTGACAATTCTGAATTTAATTTAGACGTCAAAAATAGCAAGCTTAGGTTCTGCCGTCGCGGTCGTTTCCATAGGAACCGCATTTTCATATGTTCTGAACGTCAATTTATATCGTGCTCCGGGTCACATTTGAATTAAGAATGACAGATGTCATTAAAATGCACAATCATTTATCTCCCTTGAGGTTAAAGTGATCTAAAGTATCTATCCAACTGTTCCGTTGGGTTTCATGTACGTGGAAAATCCGATGGGGTCAAGTTAATTTTCCTAATTTGCACTTTCTTAATTATTATCGAAGTATATATCAGAAAACTTACATAGAAACGGCAAACTGGCTTTATCTTCAATGAAATTTTTAAATATTCTTTAATTTTTCAAACACAAAACATATTTTTCATATCCACAGACCACAAATCAGTCACGATATCGGTTCCGCAAGTAAATTTTCGATATTTTTGACAGAACACACCAGAAAATACCTCTAATCCACCCTACGTTGTTTGGAATATGCAAATATGCCACCACTGATCAACCAAGTGTATCTATGTTCGCCGACTGGGAAAATATGTACTAGAAAATTCCCACTTCCTGGGCTACTATTATTACTAACTATTCCGGCAGAGGGGGGCTTATAATATGACAGGGATAATGGGCAATTTGAGTGATTGTTGAGGAGAAGTCTTGACATGAAGTTGTGACTAACGTATGATGAATTTGAGGGGAGGAGAACATGAATTTGAGAAGGATTTCATTGAACTTGACCATAATTTCAGAGAAACTAAATAAGAAATTTGACTACGGGGATCTCGAGGAATATTTAAAGAGGAATTTGAGAGGAACAATCATTCTTAACAAAACTTGCTGCGATCTTGATAGGATTAACTCAAAAGCGACATATGGGGATCTGTGCACTTGTCATGATGGATAATATCTCTACCTGAAACAAGGAGCTATGCTGAGCTGCTGACCAAGGGAGAAGCTGATGTTAGCTCTCGGTCGATCACCATGTTTAAAACGTTCTTAGGGGTTCCTCAGCAGACACTGCAGATGCTTACCCTATACTTACAGTTGGCAACTCTGGAGAACAATTACAAGTAGCGCCATCTAGCTTTTGTTGTCCACATTACAGACGTTTCGCGGCATCTTCAAATCTCGGTAGCATTCGGCTGAAACTGCGTGGTACGAATGAGACTCCCACGTTGTCTTTTGCTATGGCGGTCTTTTAAGTGTTGGAACGTGAGGCAGAATCGGCTATGAAATTAAATAAGACATAATTTTTGTGTGTCCGAAGGGAATAAGAGAAATGAAATTTATTACGCACGACTGACCAGGCTTGGTTCCGCGGAGCAAATTCAACCCGAAAAGTCAGCGGAAAAACGAACCAGCAAGAAAAAACCTGGCATGACCCATAAATACAAGAAATAAATCAATTACAGCAACAACGTACAAACAGACATATACGAAAATCAAACGTACATCAAATCGTACAACGAAAATCAAGTAATCGAGTCAAATGTAGCTAAAAAATTAATCAAAACGAGATACTAATGATGTCATAATTACAAAAGGATGAATCAATTAGAGGCCATGAAATTTAAAGATTGTTTAACAAAGACACGAAATTTAAAAATTGATTTTAAGCTTTGCATATAAAACGTTTGTAAACAACCCCTCAGGTTTGAGGAACGGGTAATCGGAGTTCAGACACTGTTCCCTGTCCGGAAGAGAATCCTTATAACTCTTCGGTCTTAGTAAAAAGTCCGGATCACATGCCTTCCCAATCATTTAGTCGATTGGAAGCCTTCCGAACCTCTGCGTTTTCATGGATCCAGTGCCTCTCACACAGCTGAGCCTCTGAACGTTTTCAAGCTGCTTCCTGTAGTTTTCCCTGCGCATGGCAGGCCACCATATAAGTGCACCAGACAATATTGTTAGCTTTATCAATACAGTGTTAAGGGGGCTAGGGATAGAGGATAGGCAACACACAATGGTCACTGAAATTTGCAATAAAAGTCGAAACTTTTGAGTAATTTTTGAAGCCCAAATATTAATTCTAACTAGAGGTCTTATCGGAAATTGATAGAGATATAGAAAGTCATTAAATGTAGCGATTTATTTTTTTGATAAAATTATTCAAGTCGTGTATAAATGATAATCTTGAATTTACTAAGAACGCGAATACTGGCCTTAGTAAAAAAAACATTTAAAAAGTAAATCCGCACAATTTATTTAGTAACTAAGTGGATTAAAAAAATATATTACGAACTGCTTCAAATTATGAAATAACCCGTAATTTTTACTCAAAAGTTTATATAAAATATAGCGACGGAAGAAATGCAATACCTTCCATACAATGACGATAGGCAACTCAGGTAGCACTTTTACCTGGAAAATATTAACACCTAATGACCATTATACTTATATACAATGGTTTATGACCCTATTAGACCAGTAACAAAAGAATCTCAATGCCTTCCATTTATTCGTCTATTAGGACCAACGATAATTGAGCGATAATTAAAAAAATATTGTGCGTCAATATTCAGGAGTAACAACGTTTTAATTTTTTAGACCCGTTTCATACATTTTTTTCATACATTTGATGTAGGTGTATTGTTACCTACTTATCAAAAAGCAATTTAATAATATCGATTAGGTACATAAAAATTATGTACAATTTGGACGATGTACCTATTATAGATAAACATAACGAATTGTTTGTTGCACCTTCTTGAATCTAGCAGCTCTGTTAAAAAACTGTTAATACAAAAATTGATAATCGTGTGTCTTACATACCTTAGGTGATAAATCTCAACGAAAATTTCAACCAGCAATTTTATTGACCAATGAAATGCGGATTTCGTGTCACATTTCCATGGCAACCACGGAATTTATCGTCAATTTTTTGACGTAAAAAGGTAATAATGTTTTGACATAAAATTCCCTTGACGAAAGACTCCTCTCAGGAATGTTCTCCAGCATAAGGACATCCCCGGAATTTTGACATAAAACGTCACTTTTTCGTTGAAAGTCACTATGGTGTCAAATTTTCTTACCGAATACCACAGTGCTTGAATAGAATTTTTTTCTTGCTCACGAATATTTTGCGAAAGTTCAAATATTTGTGAGCTCGAAAAGTTTCCGGAAATAGCAAGCACTATTACAAGTGATAATTTTTTATTTCAGCATGTCGTTAGTAAAAAATTGTCAAAGTCCTCGTGTGAGATCTTGTCGAAGCTACCACATTCCCTTCGTCGGTACTCGCGTCCGACGTCCCGTGCATCCCCAATTTGCGTTTGAAGTTTTACTCCACCATCAGTAAGATCTTGGCGGGGACCACCACATTCCCTTTCTCGGTACCCACTTCCGACGTCTCGCTCACCCGCAATTCGAGTTTGAAGTTTTTACTCCACCATCAGTTTTCAGATTGTTTTCAAAATGGCGCCATTGGAAAGATCTTGTAAACGGACACAAAAACTGCGTAGCGAAAATTTGTTTTTTTCCTGGGTACGAAATTAACCTCATTTTACAAGGCGTACGTCTGCGAGGGGTAGTTGACTTAGGGCGCCCAAAAGGTATCTTCCTCTGCGAATTTTGTTTCTGAAAGCTCGAATCGCGATCTCTCTTTCTCGTGTGGCTAATAGAGCTATGAGAAGTGCCCCAAAAATTGAGAACTATTTTGTGGAGAGTACACTGCCTTTTTTTGCCCCCAAAAAAAATTGTCTCAGATCGTCCCGGAAATACATTTTTCTTATAGAACGTGGAAAAAAGGAAGGTTATACACTGCCTTTTCTTGCCCCGAAAAAAAATTGTCTCAGATCGTCCCGGAAATAAATTTTTCTTATAGAACGTGGCCTGTAGAATTCATAATTTCAAACAGTTCCAAGATTGGGCTACTAATTCAAAAGTTACAGCCCTTTGAATTTTCTTTCGAAATTGGTTTCTAAGTCTATAACTTTTGATTGAGAAGTCTGATCGAAAAAGTACGAATTGTTTGGATTCTACGCACCAAAATTAATAAGAAAAAGTGTTTTCCCGAGATTTAGCAAAATTCATCTAAATGCGAATGGTGAGTGAACGGAACGTCGGAAGCGGGTACCGACAAAGGGAATGTGTTAGCTTGCGATAAGATCTTTTTTATGATGGCTAATACAATACTGATCGGCCACACAAAAATGCGCCGATCTCTCTTCGATCCCATTTTTTAATCTACCTATGCTTTTGATAATTCCACTGAAGGTTTGACGGCTAGCCAAATAAACTATTTTCGTAAAGCATCAGGCGAATGTCGTGTTGGAATTGGAAAATTTCCGAAAATCTATTAAAACATTTTTTGTAATGAAAAATGCGTCATTTATTTTGTTGTAAATTAGATCAGAATTCAGATATATAATTTGATAAATGGGGGAAGGTTGAAAACGCAGCAAATACCGGGCTACATTGCGGAAGCCATGCGAAATAGCGAAAACTGTTCATCTAACTGAAGAAAAGTACCATTCTTACATCCGCGGCACCTGTGAAAATCGTTATCATATAAATTTAGAAATCTATGGGGCCGTAGTTTGATCGGATGTGATAATTGTTTAAATAAATTTGTGCTATGAACCACAAAAATTGAAGACCAGTTTTTCTTGTTTTGGAAATTGTTCCCTTCATTACCCAAGTCCAAATCTCAAAAAGTCATTATTGTAAATCCCTATATAGGAAGTAAGTAGGAATGATATCTTAGAAAGTAATACATTAGTAATATTTTTATATAGGTATGTAGAGCTCTCAGCTTTGATTTCCTATTATATATTCAAAGGTTTCCAGTATTAGTAAAACTGTAAAACATCAG